GGCGCCCGCTGCCGTGGCCTAGGTTTCTCACTGAAAATCCTCGTCCCCCTGCGGCACCTTTTTTTGAATTTTCTTCCTTTTCAACGGCTTTTTTCGAGGATTTCGGATTTCTTTTGAATTTTTTCGCAATAATATTTGAAAAATAGATAAATGTTAACACATTTTAATGCAATAAAAATTTCTGGTCGGAGTCCCCCTTTAAGGGTAATTTTTTTCAATTTTCACTATTTTAAATACCAAAGATCAAAAGATCTAGACACAACTTATTTTCGTAGTTTCGGGACTCGCTTGTTATCTACGTTTTGGTGGATTACCGGACGTAGAATTGGAAAATTCAAAGTCTCATTTTCTCTAAAAGGAAAATAAGATGGTATCGGTGGAAATCCGAAGAAACACGACGGCGGAGATTTTTCCGAAAGATACGAAAATGGTGTTTAGTTTAGACCCGAAAAAGTGATCTTTCATATAATACTAGTCACTGATTTGGGGAAATTGTTTTTTAGAAAATCTTGAACCATTATTTTTGTCACATATCAAAGTACAGATTTTGAAAATTTCAGCTTTCTAGCTCTATTTTGAGCCGAGTTACAAATCCTCGAAGTTTTATGCAAGATAGCATGGGGAAGAAAGAAGACGCAGACAGTTAGAGATGTCTGACTGTCTGCGCCCTCCTCACTCTCTCGCCTCCAAAACTTCAATTTAACGTATCTCGGCTCCCAGAGCAGCTAGAAACTTGATTTTTTCACAGAAATATAGGAAAATGTTTCCATAATTCTCTTATTCAAAAATTGAATTTTCTGCTTTTCTGTAATTCAGTTCAAAGTATTCAGATCATTTACAACCAGTTTCTCAATTTATCTAATTTCGAAATCTGTGAAATTCAACGAAAGAAATGTTGAATCTCCGAGTCCAGGGTACGTAGAGATTTCTATCTACAGTAATCCAAAATAAGAAAACACACATAGTTTGATTGAATGACCCGGTTTTCGTGTTTCAAGCAAAAACTGAATCTGATTCGAACATTCGCGAACTTGATAGGAAAAGAGTCACACTGAAAAATTGTGTTTTGGGGATTACTGTAACATATTTCCAGCTAGAAACGATTGTCTGAAAATGTCACTCCATAAAACCTTAAGCTGTATTCTGGAATTCGGGATACGAAATTTTCGTATTTTGAAAAAAGTGAAAAATCAGAAAAATTTCAAAATTAGACACATTTTCCCACATATCTATCAAAAAACCAAATTTCTAGTTGCTCTGGGAGCCGAGATACATCAATTTGAAGTTTTGGAGGCGAGAGACTGTGAGAGGGAAGGATGGCGCAGACAATCAGACACCTCTAGCTGTCTGCGTCCTCCACATTCCCCATGCTCATTGGCGATAAGTTCAAAGTGCTGTAACTCGGCTGAAAATCGTGCTAGAAAGCTGAAAATTTGAGAGTACACCAAGTAGAATATGCGGTTTCGGAAAATTAGAAAATTAAAAACGTTTTTTGAGGGTACAGGTTTCAAAATGTTACAAAGTTTTGACATTGAAATTTTGCCGGATGAAAACTGTGTAGTCTATTGCAATTCTTTGGTCGGAGATACAAGAAACGGAGACCTTATCTCAAAAAATCGTTTTCCGTGAGAATTTTCTTTCCTATTCTTTAGTCTTCAGGTTAAAATCTAAATTATATGCACGTAGAATGAGTGCGAAATAGTACCAAAACAGGGGGACAATGGGGCCCGAAAATTGAAATTTTTTCGTTGTTTGTTTATTATAATTTTCGCCATATTTCAAAATGTATCTCTACGAAATTTCAGCTTTCCATCACTATTTTCAGCTGAGTTACAGTCATTTGAAGTGTGCAGCGAGAGAGCAGAGGGAAGGGGGAGAGTGCAGACAGTTAGAGTGCCTGCGCCCTCCTTCCCTCCCACAGTCTCTCGCCTCCAAAACTTCAAATTGATGTATCTCGGCTCCCAGAGCAGCTAGAAATTTGGTTGTTTTACAGAAATGTGAAGAGAAAATTCTATTTTTAGATTATGAAGCCAAAAATATGTTTTTGGTACTTTTAAAACTTCACTTTTCACAGTCTATTTCTTATCTAAATGCAATCTATGCCCTCGGAATGTCACAAAAAATTTGACTTCCTCGTTTTCGCTGTCCTGAGTACATACAGATGACATTCCGTTTGTCCGTTTCGAAGTTTCAACCATAAAAACTCAAATTGATATGAATCACAAAAATGACCAAAACAGAAGCATGTACATCCCAAAAAAATTTGTGTCGGGAATCTGTGATTCAAATCAATTTGAGTTTTTTATGATTGAAACATCGAAACGGCAGTTAGATAGACATCTGTATGCACTCAGGACAGCAAAATCCTCTTGTGTTGGAATCAAAAAAGAAGAATATGATAAATAATACAAGGAAATCTAAAAAAACAGAGCTTTTTCTTTACATTTCTGTAAAAAAAGCAAGTTTCTAGCTGCTCTGGGAGCCAAGTTACATTAATTTGAAGTTTTGGAGGCGAGACACTGTGGGAGGGGAGGAGGGCGCAGACACTCTAGCTGTCGGCGCCCTCCGCATTCCCCACACTATTGCGCGCGGTTTTCAATTAGCTGTAACTCAGCTCAAAATAGAGATAAAACGCTGAAACTTCGTGGGGATACATTTTAAAATATGGCGAAAAATACAGTAATCAAAAAACATCAAAATTTCAGTTTTTGGGTCCCTCTAGTCCCCTGTTTTTGGTATTATTTCGCAATCCCTACGTGCATATAATTTAGATTTTAATCCATGTGTAGTGCCTCCCGATACAAGATTTTTTTGAGATATACATGCTTCTGTTTTGGTCATATTTGTGATTTTTATCAATTTGAGTTTTTTTTTCGTTGAAACCTCGGAAGATGAGTCAGATAGACATCTGTATGTACCTGGGACATCTATGAGACATTCCGTGGCATAGATTTCATTTCAGATAAGAATTATACTGTGAAAAGTGACGTCTTATTGTTAGGTGCCAAAAAGAAGTACTGAAAATCCTAATTTTCTGTTTGAAAATAGGAAACTTCACTTTCGAAATTTTTAAACCCTGCAAATATAACTTTTTCTTTACATTTTTGTGAAACAACCAAGTTTCTAGCTGCTCTGGGAGCCGAGATACGTCAATTTGAAGTTTTGGTGGCGAGACACTGTGGGAGGCAAGAAGGGCGCAGACACTCTAACTGCCTGCGCCCTCTCCCTTCCTTCTGCTCTCTCGCTGCACACTTCAAATGGCTGTAACTCGGCTGAAAATAGAGATAAAACGATGTAATTTTGCAGGGATGCCTTATTGAATATGGGAAAAAATATGACAAACAAAAAACAGGGAAACTCCAACTTTTTGGTCCTCTTGTCCCCCTGTTTTGGTATTATTTCGCACTCTCCCTGCGTGCATATAATTTAGATTTTAATCTGAAGACTAAAGAATAGGAAAGCACACATTCTCACGGAAAAAGATTTTTTGAGATAAGGTCTCCGTTTCTTGTATCTCCGACCAAAGAATTGCAATAGACTACACAGTTTTTTGATGAAAAAAAGTTTTTTCCTCGAATTTTTATGTCAAAACTTTGGGCACAATCTATGCTCCCCAGAATTTCAGTTTCGAAAAATTGGTTGTGTTATTTTTTCAAGTTTTCTGAAAATGCAAATTTAGATGGGTGTCTTCACAAATTTTCAGTTTTCTAGCACTACTTTCAGCTGAGTTACAGACCTTTAAACTCCGTGCGAGACAGTGGGCGGAGGAGGGAGG